GCCGGCCCGCTCCTGCGCACGGGGATGGGCCGAGAGTCCGGCGGCTTTGGGGCTGCTGCTGGGGGACGCGCGGGAGCGGCTCCGCGGTGTCGCCTTCGTCGTCGCCGCCGCGCTTTGGAAGCGGCGCACTGGGCGGAAAGGGGCCCGAGTCGCCCGTGGTTGAGAACGCCTCCCCCCGCCCCAAGACGTGGAGAGAACTTCCAGGGCAGTGTTCCCTCTAAGCGGGCAGTGTTCCCTCTAAGCTGAGTCGGTGTGAGCTAGCTCCCAGTTTTTTAGCCTCTGGCTCACACTTTTTTGTCTCAGCTCAGGAAGGAGGGCTCCAGAGCAAACTGATTTCTGCAGGAGCCAAATCGCTCGCTCACAACTTTAATGCCCTTAGTTCACAAGGTAGAATTTTTGCTCAGAGACTCCAGAGCTTAGAGGGAACATTGGCTGCGGGCCAGGGAAGTGCGGGACGCCCGGTCCTTCGCTCTTTCCCCCGGCGGTCCAGCGGACTGCCCTGCGGCAAACGTCCCAGAAAGGGCTGCCCAGCCAGGCAGTCTCCTCCTCGGTCCCCGTCCTTCCTGCTTAGCGAAAACGACAGGTCGAGACTTCGGTGCTCCCCGTCCTGGAAGGGGATGCCCACGGCCAGGAGAACTCCCCTTCCCCCCCCCAAAAAAAAGGCCCAGCCTGGGATCCCCCTAGGCTCCCTCCCCCAGTTGGGAGCGGCAATGCCGTGGCTGCTGCATGGCGATCCTTGGGTCGAGGCTCGCTCCGGGTCTTCGGCCAGATGCCCCTCGAAAGAGCCTCCCTCGCCGTCGGGCCCGCGCTCACCCGCCAGCCGGTCCGAGGGCGACGGAGCCAGAGGCGCGATGGTTGCAAGGCCGGGAGCCGCGTGAGAACGGGAGAAGAGGAGAATCCCAGAATCCAGATTCTCCTGCGCAGGGACTTGGGAAGGTTGCTTGCTGGCCAGAGGCTGGGGGAGAGGAGGGGACCGCTCGGGGCCGGCAGGAGGGCCACCTGAGGACGGGATTTCAAAACTTCCAAAGCTAAGAACCAACCGGAATCTCGTCCTAATCCTTCCCCCCCCCAAAAAAAAGCAGACTCTCATCCAAGAGCGCGCAAGCTTCCCGGTTCCCCACCGCTCTAGGGTGGTGGCAGGAGCCAGGATCCAAAGAAAACCCCTCCCGGAGGTGGCGTCTCCAGGAGCTCCTCCCTCGCCGGCAACTGGCGGGGTCTTCCAGGCAGACTTCAGCTCCAGGGGAGGTGGCGGTGCGGGCAGAGGACGGGGCTGCCTCCCGCGCCGGAGGAGGGAGGAGCGAGCCCTCAAGACCACGCCCCCTTTGAGAACAGTCCTCCAGCTCGTCGCGCTCCGCCGGACTGGGCTGTGCGGGAAGAAGTGGCTTCGGGGCGGCGAGTCCCAGCTCCTCCAGCGGCCGGCCCGCAGCTCCTTTCCGCACAGCCGCCGCGGGTCCCTTTCCGCCTTCGGGAGTCTCCGCGCCGACCGACCCGACAGCTCTGGGTGGAGAAGCTGCAGGTCTCCCCGGACGCCGCCGATCCACTATAGCCACCCGTCGCTGCCTCTCCCGCAGGCTGCCCTGGCCGGACGGATCTCTCGCGCTCCCGGCCACAGCAACGCGAAGCTTCCGAAGCCAAATCCCCGCGGGAGCAAACGGCCGGAGACGCCGCATGCGGGGAACCTTCGCTTGGAGGGGCGGCGACCGCGAAGCCAAGGGGAGCCTGAGCCGACATCCCTCCCCGTCTCTCCTCCTGCTTCGTAGGGGTCTCCCCTCCCCCGCCCCGCAGAATCTGGGGAGAGTCGCCGAGCCGAGAGAGAGGCGCGAAGTGCTCTAGCTGTGGCGGACCCTCCCCCCTCCTTCTGATGCCTCGCTCTGGGGCTCCTTGGGGCGCGCAGGAAACTAGGGGAAGGGGGGGTGGGAACGGGACGTGAAGTGCTGCCTGCTCGGGAGTGAGGGTAGAAGGAGCCGCTCCTCGCCCTTCACAAGCAGACCCCCCTTCCACTCCCCCATCTGCACTTTTGGCCTTTTCCAAACGGGGGGGGAATGCAGGGGATGCGGTGTCTCACTTCACTCGAGGAGGTCACCAAGCCAGGAGGAAATCTTTCCAGAAAAGAGGGGTTATTCGAGGATGGGGGGAGTTAGGGGGTAGGGGGAGGTGGCTGAAAACGTGGCTAGAATCACACCAGGGCATGAAGCTGCCTTCAGACCAGGAGACCATCAAGGTCAGTATTGTTCCCCCTCTCCCGGGTCTCAGTCTTCCACCTCACCTGCTGCCTGATCCTTGTAACTGGGGCTGTGTTGGCAATGGAACCTGGGGCCCTGCCCCTGTGCCACAGAGCACCCTGATCCACCCTGGGTGCAAGGTGTGCACAAGGGGCTTGCATCCCACACAGGTCTTCCCACAGGCTGGCTGGCTGCGTGGAACAGCACCTTTTCCAGAGGAGAGGGTCAGGAGGCTGGCACTTGCTTGTGCCCACCAGAAGGAACCAGGCCTGGGTGTTGCCACCAGTCTGACACCAGCGACCAGGTGTGCCAGGAGAGAGCTAGAACTTTGCTGTGGAAACTGCAGCTTCTTTAAAGGAACCCCACCACACCACCAGATTCTTTGCCCAAAAAAGGGCATGGAAAAGGGTGCTTTTTGGTGGCTGGCCCCTGTGCATGGGGGTGTTTCTGCTGGAGGGCAGCAGCTGGTCCTCATGAGGCGTCCCCAGCTAGCTCTTGTCATCCAAGCACTTACATAGGGCGGTAAGCCCCTTCCCTAACTATTCAGGTTTCATTTTTTAAAAAAAAAGTAGCTTCCCTGTCTTCCTGAAATGGACTTAAGTGAAAGCTTCCTGAGGGAAGGAGCAGATCACCATCCAGATGAACTCTTCACCCCCCCCCCAAAGATTCATGTTCCCTGAAAGCAGGAGTGGATGCAATGGGAGCCACTCGTGGGGCATTTTCCAATGGACCCCCTGTTGGGTGTTACAAGTTAAAATTACACTCAGTATTTCTGGGGTTAAATGTTTGTTTGTGTTGTCACAGGAAGTCACATGTGTTTTATGTAGCCAATGTTAGTTTAGAACTACAAGCCCGGGGAAATCATCCCTGATCTAGGAGTTTGATTGGAGTGATAGTGTCAAAGTGTTTTAGCATTTTATGGCTTCTCTTCCCGTCTTTGTTTGCTGTTCTCAAGAAGAAGTAGAGAAGCCATTATCGCTCTCTTCTAGTCTTGTCTTTGTAGTGTAAAGATGTTAGCTGTTTAGCTCTGTTGTTATTTTCATCCCAGTTACCCTTCCCTATGCTAGAATGTGGTAGTAAAATGTAGTAAAAACTACATTTTAAACACACATGGTATTTTAAAGTATTTTAAACACACATGGGCTCTGAGTCTGAATTATTTTACTCTGGCATTGCTAAGCTATTTTCTCTCTGCAAAAAACCAAGTTTTTATTTTAAACACACATGGGCTCTGAGTCTGAATTATTTCTTCCCAGTTACCCTTCCCTATGCTAGAATGTGGTAGTAAAATGTAGTAAAAACTACATTTTAAACACACATGGTATTTTAAAGTATTTTAAACACACATGGGCTCTGAGTCTGAATTATTTTACTCTGGCACTGCTAAGCTATTTTATCTCTGCTGAAAACCAAGTTTTATTTTTAAAAACCCCAACACCCCCTACTGCCTGCTGCTTGCTAGGACCTTTGTGAATAGCATCAGGTTCTGTGGAGTGTGGTCTGTTCCAGCAAGGCACTTCTTAGGTTCTGAAGTAAAAGGGGGGGGGGGCATTAGAGAGCTCTTCCACCAGGCCTTTGGGTAGGGAGCCGCACCTATAAATCTAAGACCCTGTGCCCAATACCACCATCCAGCCTGAGCTTGGCAGCAAGAAAAATCATTTGTTGACTGTAATCTATATGTTTCCTGCTACTGTGCACCGCCATCGTTATATAAACTGGTTGTAGTAATTATGTTGTGTTTTATGGGGATATTTATACTGATGTTTTTATCTGTTATTGACTTGTTGCAATTTTATCTAAGCCGCCCTGAGCCTGCTCCAGCGGGGAGGGCGAGGTACAAATCAAACTAAATAAATAAAATAAATTATTGCTCTTTGAGTCACTTAGAGGAGGGCAGGGAGCTGTTCCTGTTGGCAGCAGAGGAGAGGACTCACAATGATGGGTTTAAATCAGGGCTATTTTTGGGCAGGAACGCACAGGAACAGAGTTCCAGCTGGCTCCCAAGTTGGCCACGCCCAGCAGGAACTCATTAGCATAATAGGCCACACCCAACAGCAGGAACTCATTAGGATTGGCTACATTAGGGGTGTGTGGCCTAACATGCAAAGGCGTTCCTGCTACAAAAAAAGGCCCTGGGTTTTGACAACAAACAAGGTAAACAGAATAACAAGCAAAAGGAGGGTGTGGCTGGATGACCACACTTCTGGTAACATGGGGGTGTGTCCTAATGTGCTAATGAGCTGTGCTGTCAGGGGTGTGGCCCAATATGCTAATGAGTTCCTGCTGTTGGGTGTGGCCTATTATGCTAATGAGCTCCTGCTAGGCTTTTTCTACAAAAAGAGCCCTGGTTTAAATTATGGGCAGAAAGGTACCGGCTGAATATTAGGAAAACGTTTTTGCAGTAAGAGTAGTTCAGCACTGGAGTAGACTGCCTAGAGAGGTGGGTGAGCTCCCCCTCACTGGCAGTCTTCAAGCAGCGGCTGGACAAACGCTTGTGAGGGATGCTCTGGGTCGACCCTGCATTGAGCAGAGGGTTGGACTAGGCGATCCCTTCCTTCCAACTCTGTGATTCGATGCGTCTGTTCTATGATCTCATAGCACAGAAAAAGCCATGCTTTAACTGTGTAAAACTAAGTATACTGAGTATACATTAATGCTTTGCACATCTGAAGTCTGAAAATTCAAAACACAGAGATTCTAGACCATACAAAATGGAAGTAAGCCTGCCTTCACTTTTAACACCTCTCTCTACTCATTTTTATGTCCCCTATGTCTGGAACAACTTCCCTGCCTTCCCTTCCTCCCCTCTCCAGTTTATCTCTTCCTTTCTTTCCTCTGCCTCTAGGATGATATAACTGTATGCTCCTTGGGTATGTCTTGGTTAACTGTTAAAACTGTCAAACGTTAACGCCATTTGAAGAGAGATGAGGTTTATTCTGCCAGTAACTAGTAAATAAAGTAGTTTTGATCAAAATTAAAGTGTCCTGGTCTTCCTTCCTTCTCTCTGATAGGACTGGTCAACTTTGACATCATGGTATATTCACTTTATTTTTCCATTTTGTAGGGGGATGTTTTGTGTTAACTTGTGCCGAGTTGTTGCAATCAAGAGAGTCAATGGTGGCAGTTGCATGCGCCAGTTGAATGGTGGCAGTTGCACGCGCCCTGCAGAGGAACTTGACATGCAGTTGCGAGATCACACCTCCCTTTGTAGCTGCGGGCTCAGCCCGTCACTGTGTGATCAGACGCAACTGCGGGTGAGTCTCTCTTTTTTTGGCTGTTTGTTTCCCTTGTGCATAAACGAGGATTCACACCTCCGCAGTGAGGGCCCCCTATGGAGTATGCGATGATGAGCATACTGGGGGGGGGGGCGGACAACGTCACCGAGCTGGGATGGCCTGATCAGACCTTTCCGATGGCATGCTTGCATGATCAGACAGGGGAAAGTCCGTCCGTGGCCCGTAGCAACCCGTTTACTACTGGACTTTCCCCAGTGTCTTTTAACTCCGCTTCCGTGGCAGAGCAGCAGGAGTTGCTGATGACTATGGCATGCTTCCCAGATGTTTCTGTCTGATTGCTCCCTTTAAAACAGTCAGGCATTTGCACCTATGTAAGATCTAAAGGTGCGTGTGATCACAGCCAATATGTACTTAACACAGAGTACACCCAATAAACTCAGCACACATTCTTCTACGTAGACATGCATAGGACTGATCCGCTTATGAGTTGACCAAGATATTATCTTTCCATTTTAGTTATGCCCTCCCTCCACAATTCAGGGACTAACATGTTGCTAATGAGCCACCTCTCTGCACCTTCTCTTAAAGTGCTGAAAGCAGTTCTTGTAGCTGAGAATTGGGATGTGAGAGTTCAGGAATAATAATGGTGATTCTCATCACACTGCTGTTTTCATGTTACTCCTGCGCACTGCTTAGGTGGAGGGGAAAGCGCACAGCAAAGAGCAGCAAGAAGGTGAAGAGCAAGCTGAGGGGGAGGAGCCTCTGATCATATTCAACACACAACAGCAGTGGGGAACAATGCTTTGTGAGCTATTGGCATTCAAGCTGTGAGCAAGCGATTTGGCCACTGCATGAATTAGTTTGCTCTGGAGACATCCTTCCTGAGCAAAGATGAAAATGTGTGAGCTGGAGGCTAGAAAACTGTGAGCTAGCTCACACTAAATCAGCTTAGAGGGAACACTGCTCTGGAGCCATCCTTCCTGAGCGAAGACAAAAACGTGTGAGCCAGAGGCTAAAAAACTGTGAGCCTAGATCACACTAACTCAGGGGGAAATTCAAAAGGAGTCAGTTTTGGAAGTTGCCCTGGATTGTCTCATGTGCTGAAGACCACACACCAAGCCAACACATGTCCTTTGGCAAGCAGAAGCTACGTAGCTCTGGAACTGTTGAAGGAACCATTAAAATGCTCTCCCACTTCTTTTACTGTATTTACTTTGTTATTATTCCTGTTTTACTCAGGAGGAAATAAAGCTCTTGTTCTCATGGAAAATGGATGATGTTTGATTTGAGGGAAGAAGTAAAATAATTGTTCCATCTAACCTCCCACCAA